TTGCACAGGTCACAGCAACACCTGCGAACAACTGGGGGCAAGAGCTCCCCCAGGAGGGCACAACAGGAGCCAAGCAGGGCCACCCTGGAGACAGGCAACCCTCAAACAGCTCCCTGGGGTGTGACGCCCCTCAGTCCCCTTTTACACATGATTGCCAGGGGTCCCTCAGCTGGTGACAGCAGGGACTGCAACCCTCCTTCTCATGCCACCAGCACCTGGAACCCTGCCTGAGGGTACAGGGGCACCCTATGGGCAGTGCTGGGGGAAACAAACCTCAATTAAGTGCAAGGACAAACAGAAATCATTGGTGCCCTCCAGGAAAAGCATTCATTCATTCATTCCACAGGGAGCCTGGTCCGTGCCGGGCACCGCATTGAATGTCAGGACTCAGCACAAACACAGTGCCTGGTGAGTGTCCCCGGATGAGGCAGGATGGTCATAAGCAGTCAACAGAGTCCCCAATAGACAGACAGTCACAGCTGCTTAACCCCATGCAGCGAAGAGGAGGCTGAGGAGCGACCGACTAGCCCTGCAGAAGCAACGTAAGAGCGTGCTGGTTGCAAGGTGACCAGCTCTGAGCTGAGCACTCTCTGCGGTAGCACTATTTCTCCCTCAACCACAACTGCCCCAGGGGGCGAGAGTAGCTGCAGACTTAGGGGTGAGGCCACAACTCAGCCCTCAGGACCCTGTGCAAGAGCCCTGGCAGTCCCAGGGCTTAACCTCGATGACCACTCTTGAAATGCAGTCAAGAGCCAACAAGACTTCATCACGGCCAAGAGCAGAAGCGGCCCAGAAGCCATCAGCCTCTGAGTGAATCCACAAACTGGGTCTATTCACCCAATGGAATTGCAGGCACCGGAGCTCCAAGTCAGGAAGCAGCTGAGGGGTCCCCCTTCTCTTCCAGGTCAGAAAGCTCAAAGCCATTTCCTGACCCACGGGAGGAGCTCTGATAAGCCCTTGCTTTAAGGAACTGCCAAGAGCCGGACAAAGTTTATAAAATCTCCCAAAGAGACCCTTTACAAACACGAAGAGGTGAAAACAAAGGAGGGGCAGTCAGGGTGGGTACCCAGAGGGGACCTCGAGGCTGATAGAGTCTCCCCTATACACACAGTGCATGTAGGAAGTGTCCCTCCCCATGGGGGAGGGTGTAAAAGGGCTGCACAGGGGACTGGTCCCACGCATGGCCCCATAACTGGTTTCAACTGTAAAGCAAAGTGCACATCGGTGGGCGTGCCCAGCCAACCAGTCGGCATTTCCCGGGCGCACGCAATGTGCCATGAGCATGCAGTGTGCTGGAAATTCCACAATGAACAGGAGCTGAAGGGGCCTCGACT